CCTACCACCGCGGGCCCTGCTCCCCGCCTGCACTGCCGCAGTTAATCTAAAATTATTTTAAAATGGTTTACGCTTTAAAAGTTTTTCTAGGGACCAGCAATGGCATAATAGCTATGTCGCTGGACTCCCATGTAGTCAACTGCAGTTCGAGTCCTGGATCTGGCAGCTTAAACTCACGCCAGGTGTGTGTGTATGCGTGCCCAAGATCCTGAGAGGAGAATGGAGGAGAAAGGATTGCGGTGTGATTTCTCGCTTTCTGTCTCTCTTTCTGGCGAGCGCACACACCCTATAGCAAAAACCTTTCCCTCTCCCCCCATAAAAACTTTTCCTAAAAGGCACCTCTCAAATACAAGGACATCTATAAATTTATGCACACGTTACATTGACCTAATTTTTGGCTGAAAAGATTAATCACTGAAAGCTTTATTACTCTACCCGAAACATTATCATTAGCAATCCCATGGTCTAGGAAACTATCAACTAAAGAGATTGTTAAAACCATCTGGTTATTTAAGAATTCGACTTTCACTTTCTCATCATAAATCTCTAAAATGCTTCAGCTCCTTGCTCCCTGCCCCCCTTTATTAATTCTGCAAATGCATGCTGACCCACACTGGCACACTGGCAGGACGCACGTGGGTTCCGTGACTGCACCGCCGCTCCAAAGTCCAAGCGTCTTCTGCACATGTAGCTCACAGGCCAGCTCCTTCATAATCAGAGCTCAGTAGGAAAACACAGGACTAGAGAACTGTTCCTGTATTTTCACTGTCTTAGCATTATTTAATTTTATTTGTTGCTGTTGTTGTTATTTTTAATTTGCAACAGGGCAGTGTGCTCACCAGAGACGCAGAGAGGGAAAGTGAGAAAGCAAGCGCCCAGGCTGGGACTCGCCCAGTCTGCCACTCTGGAGCCCGGTGCCCAGCCACCACGCCACCTGCGGGCCCCGTTCCTGTCTCTCAGCAGTCCACCCACTGCGAGAGCGTCCTGAATGTGCTGTCGGTTACGCAGCCCAGGAGAGAACCAAGATAAGAGTACCCATATTCTCTTTGTACTTCAGGAGATGCAAAAGTGGAGGAGCGGTCTCCACGGTGACACGTGAGGAGGACAGGAGCTACAACCTGCTCAGGCGTCACCGGCCAGCTGTGTTCTTCAAAGCGGAAGCCTCGGGCTGCCAATACGTACGTAACACCTATTTCTGAGAGACCGATGTGCAGTAATGCCTAGCAGAGGACGAAATTTAAGTAAACATATTTGACCATTCTAAAGGATCAAGCCACCTAGTATGTTATCTGTTAAGCTATCCTATAGTTTAATTTAAAAAAATTCGACTCATAAATACAGGTTGAGTATCCCTTATCTGAAATTCGTGGAACCATGAAGAGTTTGATGTTAGATGTTTTTCAGATGTTGGAGTATCTGCATATATATATAATGAGATACCGTGGGGATGGGACCCAAGTCTAAACACAAAGCTTATTTATGTTTTATATACCTCACACACACACACACAGGCTGAAGACAATTTTACACTGTATTTTTGTACTGCAATGTTTTGATTATGACCCACATGAGGTGAAGAGTGGAATCTTCCAACTGCAGCATCATGTTGGCACTCAAAAAGTTTCAGATTTTGAAGCATTTGGGGTTTCAGACTTGGGGAATAGAGATGCTGAACCTGCTCTCTACATACTGACTGTACGCAAGGCAGTGAGTTAGAACTAGCAGCACAGACAAGTAAGACCTTACAGGGACCAGCAGATGGCATAATGGCTATGTCGCTGGACTCCTATGTAGCTGACAGCGGTTCAAGTCCCAGACCCAGAGGCTTGAAGCTCCCAACAGGGTGTGTGTGTGTGCCCAAGATCCTGAGAGAAGAACGTAGGAAAAGGGACTGCAGTGTGGCCATCCCCACCAGGGTAACTTTTCGCTTTTTCTCTGTCTCTCTGGCAAGTGCACGCACCCTATAGCAAAAACTTCTCTTAAAAAACAAACAAGTAAACAAAAAAGACAAAGTGCAAAACAAGGGAGCAGTAGATGGTGTAATGGTTACACCCCTGGACTCCCACATGGCCGACTGTGGTTCAAGTTCAGGACCTGAAGGCTTGAAACTCACATTGGGTACATGTGCATGCGTTCCCAAAATCCGGAGAAGAGAATGGAGTTTGAGAAAGGATTACAGTGTAGCCATACCCCCTGGGGGGGTGATTTCTCACTTTCTGTCTCTCTCTGTCGCTCTGGTAAGTGCATGTGCCCTATACCAAAAAACTCTCAAAAAAACAAAAAAGCACAAAAAGTAAAACAAGTCAATTATCAAGTAAAATGAGCCAAATTTTGACTTGAAATAGCATAAGTCATTAGATAGCTCACTTACTTTCCTTACAAAATATTATCAAATACGTTCTTCTGAACAGTTATAAGAATGGCACAATTTTGGGACCAGCAGGTGGCGTGGTGGTTAAGTGCTGGACACTCCCACATGGCCGACCACGGTTTGAGTCCCGGACCTGGTGGCTTCTTTCTCACTTCCCTTCTCTCTCTTTCCCCCTCTGTGTCTCTCTCTGGTCAAATTACAATAAATGAGTGAATAAATAAGACAAATAATTATTTTTTAAAAAATGGCACAATTTTATCAGATGTAATAAAAGTTATAATCAAAATGAACAATTACCTTATTTTTTTAAGCATTCCCAATTTATATTTCAAAATCACAAACCTGTCTAACTGCAAAATAATTTCTTTATGTTTTAAAGAATTATAATTTACTTACGAGTATTGTTTTTAATTAGACCAGAGAGAGACAGAGTGAGAAGGAAAGTGAGAAAGTAAGGCACTGGGTTTGAGACTCAAACTGCAGACGTGTGCGAGTCCAGCGCTTTGACCACCATGCCGCGGGCCAGCCCCTGAGATTTTTCATTCTTAAGGGTCAAAATGAAACACCGGAAAGCTTCCCAAAGCTTCCCGAAAGTGTGGCGCTGTTGTTCAAAGCCAGTGTCAACACAGCAGCTGACAGCACGTGCCACGTGTAGCAGGGATGAACACCGAGGCAGGAAAAGCCCGACTCCCGCAACGTGTCACCTCGCACACCCGCGGCTGCCTGACTGCAGACTCTAAGAACACGCTCCTTCTTTGACCGCCAGACAGCACATGTGCTTGCCAGAGGGGCACTTTGGGCTCCTTATGCCTGTGAACAAGCGGCGGTCATGGTCAAGCCTCAACCCCTCTTCCCCTGCTCCTCCACCCACTGGGATCTGGGGCGTGCAAACACGTGCCCGGCGAGTTTTCCATGCTACTAGGGACGGGTTTCGAATCCCTGTCAGCCATCCAGGATGAGGCTCCCTTATACTGTGCTCTGGAACAGACTCTCCCGGTCCCCGCCAACCTCAGGGCACCACTGCCGCCTAGAAACCCCTTCCCCTAGCCCACTCCGGTCTGGCCTCGCTGTACCTGGATTAAGACGCCAGGGTTGGCAGCCACGCCCTTCTCTTCACTGCTCTGCTCCACATTCCACATTCCCTGGAAAGATCCTCTGGGCGCAGTCCTGACTGACGCTAATTAGTGACCGATCTCGGAGAGCTGTGCTTTGAACACTTCCCTTACTTTCCAAAAACAAAGACAGAAAATGTTGAGATTTTTGTTTTTGTTTTAAATTAGCCAGGTTTAAAAGAAGACGATCACTTCTGTTACGAGGGGCTGCGCCTCTGAGACACTGGTCCAGAAACAGGCAGCCTGAAGTCTAACTCCTAGGGCAGGGGAGGGAGTAGCAAGGTTCCCTCAGTGCTCGCCTACAGCCAAGGTCAAGGTCAACCCTGCGGCCTAGGCTTGCTCCCACCTTTAACAAGACTAGACAGAGTGGGTACCTTTACAATAAGCAGGTTTAAAACCTCCAAAGAGATCATAATCCTGCTATTGGAAAGGAATTCACACGCAATAAGAAGCAGAAATTGCGGCTGCCAGGTGACATAGTGTTTAAGGCATCAGACTCCTACATAGCCGACAATGGTTCGAATCCTGGACCCGGAGGCTTGCTTTCTCTCATTCTGTCTTTCTCTGGTCAAATTTAAAAAATCAAATTAGCTAGATAAATAAATAAATAAATAAATATTAAGGGACAAGCAGATGGTGTAATGGTTATGTTGCTGGAGTCCCATGTAGTGACTGTTGTTTGAGTACCAGACCCAGAGGCTTAAAACTCACGCCAGGCACATGTGCGCGGGTGCCCAAGATCCCGAGAGGAGAACGGAGGCCAAGGGACTATGGCAAGGCCATCCCCCTCGGGGGTGATTTCTCACTTTCTGTCCCTCTGTCTTGCCAGCGAGTACATGCATCCTATTGCAAAACTCTCAAAAATAATAATTATTTTTTAAAAAAGCAGATATCATTTGCCTGATAAATTTGCCTACAAATTCATTTTAAGTTTCTGTATGAAACGAAGATAAAACAAACAAATTTAAACACTAGGACAGACTTAAACATATCTACAACAAAGAATTAGCATTCGGGGGCCAACACTGGTGTGGTGGTTACGGCACTAGACTCCCACATGGTCAACTACAGTTCAAGTCCCAGACCTGATGGCTTTAAATCACACTGGGTCCATCTGAGTAGGTGACCAACTCTCAGTAGGAGAGTGGAGAAGGGACTGCAGCATGGTCACCCCCCCCACCCCTGGGGTGATTCTGTACCTCTCTCCCCACCCCCAGCAAGCACATGTGCCCTAAGGCAAAAACCTAAAAAAGAAAAAGAAAAAAAAATTAGCATTTGGGCTACAGAAGGAATAAGGAAAAGAGGAACTACCCAACAGAAAAATGGGTAGTTTACCTGAAAAATTCCAGAGTTTACCTGAATCTCACCAGCTAGAAAATGCAAATTAGAACGAAGAGATACTGGAAAATGTTTCAAGTCTGCCCGTACAAAGTGTTGACCAAGATACACGGGAAGGGGAACTCTTGTGCTCTGGGAAACCATTTGGCAGTATCTAGTAACAGTTGTGCTGTGCATACCTGACCCAGCGACGCCACGTCGAGCATGATCCCTGCCTAAAAGCATGGACAAGAATAAGAATGGTCCCCGAGACAGTTCCACAGCAGGACAGGAAACGGCAATAACCCAAAGCCATCGGCGAAGGGCAGCCCCCTAGAAGACTGGCGGGGACACGACGGCTTCATTGGGGACTCCAAATTCTAGCAACACACTAGGCCAGTGTACACATTCAGAGAATGTTTGAGTAAATAAATGAAAAAGAAACTGTGTTACTTAAAAGAGGATGCAGAGCTGAGAAATAGCTTTTACAGATGGAGAACTAAATCAAAATCTCCAAAAATCCCCACCTTCGTGAGAGAAAGGAGACCAGGAAGTGAACTGCAGAGCACGCTAACCAGTGCTAGGTGTGTCGGGAAAACGCAGGGAAGGGCAGGGAAGGGCGTCCGAGCAGAGCGCAGGGCAGAGCTTTTACAGGGACAGCCAGGAAAGCCCCCCTCACTGAGAAGGCCACACTGAGCTAAGGTTTGGAGAGGGTGCAGGAGGATGTGGCGGCGGGAACACCCCGGGCCAGGGCCTGACGGAGATCCCGAGACTGAGGGATGCCCGGCACTTCTGCCGAACTGTAAGTTAGTGTGGGGAGAGCAGCGAGAGTGGGGGCCGGCAGGAGGCGCGGGGTCCCCCGTGACTGCGGACTGAGTTCCGGACGCCCTGCGGCTTGGAAAACACACCAGGATCATGTGTGTACATACCCCGAATCCCAAGAGAAGAATGAAGGGACGGGCGGGCCTCCTTCCTGGGGTGATTTCTCACTCTCCCTTTCTCTCCCTCTCTGGCAAGGGCTCAGCGGCCTGTAGCAGGTGCGTGTGGCACATTCTTTGTTTTTCCATTTTTTTAATAATTGCCAGAGAGCGCATGCAATCACCAGAGACAAAGAGCAAGAGGGAGAGCTCTCCCCAGGGGACGTGGCTGTCGGCCCCGCCTCCATTTCTCCAGCCCACTGGGGCTTCGGGCACACTCACTCGCAGGCCTGCTGTGGATTTCAAGCCACCTGGGCCGGGATCTGAACCGCGTTTGGCCATGTGGAATCTGGCTTCCTTAACCAAAGGCAGCTCCGGGGTAAGCACATTTCAATCCTTCAGCCACACGAGGTCTGGAACAGCTGTACCGACAACAGTAAGGTCCGGCTCTCTGGGGGACCTGGACCCGTCCTAGTTCGGGCTGCTGGCATGCCTGGGCTCCTCTACTGCTTTACGCCCCCTCGCCAAAAAGTGGGGTCGGGGGGTACGTCTGAACACTGAGACCAAGAAGCACGTATTCAGAGATCTAGGCTCTTCAACGTTAACTCCTCAGGTCAGATCCTTAGCCACACAAAAATAACGCCACCTTAGGCAGGTGCCTCCTTTTCCTATCCCTTCATCCCTCGGGAGAAAAGCAAAGAAGGCAGGTCCTGCTAACTGACGCGAGTCAAGCCTGAACCCCGCACTCGCTCGTACACCAGCAGCTGGTGGGGGAGCTGCCTGGGCCCACTGCTGCCCCGAGCGCGGCAGTACCGAGTCAGACAAGGTCCTACACGCAAACACAGGATGAGCCACGGGTAAGGCCGCCTACGTAATCTAAACATTTTCAATAACCACGTTTTTTAGAATGTGGTAAACGGAAACACATAGAATAGTAATTCCATCTTTTATTTACCTAATATATATCCAAAAATATCACTTCAATATATATTCGATATAAGAACATTTAGGTATTTTACCTTTTCTCATACTGTTTTTGAAATTCAGTTTGTGTCCTGTACTTGTAACTATCTCCCCTCAATCTAGCCACACTTCAAGTGTATTGGAGAGCACAGTTACGTAGGATAGAGTGTTTTTAGAAAACTGAAAAGAATTTGGCAGGTACACGCACAGTGCAAAGTTAAGACCGCAGACAGAGGCTTCAACGTGGTCCTGAGTTAAAGGAAAAGAGAAAAGCAAATCATCGACGAGTGTGGACAGCGGACAAGCAGGACCCAGAGCACAAGTGGCCTGGTTAGGCTGCAGAAAAGAAGGGTCCCATCGCCCGGCCCTTGAGGTGGCTGGCGATGAGGGGAAACTGAGTCTGGGTACGCGTGCGTGTGCCGAGTGTAAGACAGAAAGCTAAGGGATTCGGGGTGAGCGCTTCCCACCGACAGCCTCCTTTCACAGCCACAACACAAACCTGAAGGCCGTACTTATGGGACGATCCAGGAACAACTCTCCTGGCATGGCAGGCTGTGTTCTGGTACAGCTACAATCATTTCCTCGCTTTCTTCTGGGCTCATCAACCTTGAAATTCGTCAGTTTATCTCCAAACACAGAAACAATACTAAAGAAGCAGACTTTCTTTCCTCATTCCTCATTTTTTTTTTTTTTTTTTTTTTGCTATAGGGACTGTGTCCAGAAAGAGGGAGACAGAGACAGAAAGCGAGAAATCACCCCCAGGGGAGATGGCCACACCGCAATACCTTCTCCTCCATTCACCTCTCGGGTTCTTGGGCATGCACGCACACGCCCCTGGCATGAGTTTAAGCCGCCGAGTCCAGGACTGGAACCGCAGTTGACTACATGGGAGTGCAGCAACACAGCATGAGGCTAACTGCTGGTCCCCACATTCTCAGCAAACATGTACCCAAGGTCTACCCTAGAGAATGCGGAAGTGAGTCAAGTCTGCATGACCCCCATTTGCATGCCTCGTGGTCAGCAGGGCATCACACCTGCACAGATGGCACCTGAAAACGCAGAGGTACACCGCTGTAAAAGTATCACATGTCAGGGCCGCCTGGGGGCGTGGTGGTTAAGGGGCTGGACTCCCACATGGCCGACTGTGGTTCAAGTCCCAGACCTGGCGACTTGCTTTCCCACTCCCTCTCTCTCTCTCTCTTGCTCTATCCCTCTCTGGTCAAATGAAAATAAATGAATAAAGTTAAATAAAATAATTCTTGAAAGAAATTACTTGTGTCATACACTGACAAAGACTTTCATTTAAAAACCTAAATCAGGGACCAGCAGATGGAGTACTGATTACATCACTAGCTTCCCATGTAACCGACTGTGGTTCGACTCCCTGACCTGGGTGACTTAAAACTTACGCTGGGGAGGTGTGCGTGCGTGCCAAGGTTCCAAGAGGAGTATGGAGGACAAGGGATTGCCAGGTGGCCCTCACCCCGGGAGTGATTTCTCACTTTCTGTCTCTCTGGTACGCACACATACCCTATGGCAAAAATTGCTCTTAAAAAAAAGTAAATCGGTGCTCTTCAATAGGGTTTTCTGTGGTGACATGAATTCGAACGTTAACTTCAATAGCCACACATGGTTAGCAGCAACCGTGAGTAGATAACAGCACTTCCTGTTTTAATCAAGGTGCACGTCACCTGAGTTAAAGCAGATACTGCTGAAAACAAGTACCCAATGAACAAAACTGTACCTGAAGCACACCAGAAGAGAATCGTCTTAGCATGAATTTTCACACTGTGAACAAAAATAGGAGGAAAAAAAAAAAGAGAAAGAAAAAGAGAAAAGGAAAGAAAATTCTAGACTTTTCTTCACTCTATTTCCCAAAAGGAAAATGTCAACATTTTGTCAATTAGATTTTCCCAAAATGTCAAATAATAAAAATAGCTTGTTGAGATAAATCAAACATTTTCTTTTTAGAAATTACTACAGCAAGGGCCAGCAGGTGGCATGGTGGTTGAGGTGCTGGACTCCCACATGGCTGACCAAGGTTCAAGACCCGGACCTGGTAGCTTGCTTTATTACTTTCCCTCTCTGGTGAGTGTATATGCCCTGGGGCAAATGAAAAATAATGATAAATAAAATTAAATAATTCTTTATAGGAAAAAAAGAAATTACTAGAGTATAGGAGTTGTTTCTGTAATAAAATGACAAATTCTGTTAGTGAGGTAACATAAGCTGAAAAATCAGAATTTGCATAATGAATAAAGCATGTTTATCGCACCAACAACCTGTCTTTGTTAACTGCCTGCATATCAGTTTGCCCAGATTTGTCCCATTTACCTAAATTTTAAGATAAATCCATCCTTAGGACCAGCAGATGGTGTAATAGTTACTGGATTCCCATGGAGTAGACCGCAGTTCGAGTCTCAGACTGGGTGGCTTAAAATTCATGCCGGGTCTGTGGGTTTATTATTTATTTATTTATCATTACCCAATGGGTTTGTTACCCATTCTTAAAAGACATGATAACTCCATTCACTGGCCAAACGGAAGTATAATCTAAAGCAGACTCTGAGTTGAGTAATTCCTAAATGGTGGTTTATGACTAAGGGCAAAATATACTTTCCTCCCCATGTATCCACCGCCTGGAACGCGTTATTTATTTAAGTGACTACACAAGCTTAATGAGAGATGCAAAGTCCTACGTCGGCACAGGTCTGATCGCACACGCAGAAGATCTGATAACTTGGAAGGAGAACCAGCCAGGTGAGCAACTCAATGTCACCGAGAGCATTTATTATGCACAGCGACCTGTTCAGCCTGTTAACCACCCCTGCAGGCCGCCGCCTTATCAATTAACCACACACCTTCCGTCTCCTGTTAGGCTACTTCATGTGAAAAGTCATTTCTAAAAACGTGACCAGATTGTCTCCTGAGCATGAGAGTGGTTATACAACCAGGATTTTATGCAAGCTAACAAAAATACCTAATGCTGGAAAACAGCATCTCCATCTACTAAGAAAAGCTGTAAGACAACCACTTTAGAATGATCTTCCCACCACCCAAAAATACCATGAAGTAAATAGGCTTCTATACATGAAGGCCTGGCAACGGAAGCGCGTGAGATCAGATCTGTAATAATTAACTTTCAGCGTCAAATGACTGCGCTACAGCTTAACTGCAACAAAGCCAAAGTATTCAAACAAAATGGCTTGACAGTGACATCATTAGCTTGGCTTCCTAATAAAGCATCTATCTGGGATAGCTGGAAGTACAATTAGCTTAATATAGAGCCAACATGTGCGAGGGAGTGGCGAGCGGCGCTACTTTTATTTCTGAGATTGTTTTTCCAATGATGCCCACTGCAAAATAAAGCGGCGGAGCCTGCCTCTGGAACACCACAGTGCCGTCTCCACAGGGAAAGCGCTGTCGGAGCCCGGCCCCCCAAGAACAGCGTGCGCCCCCTGAAAGCGACCACTGCCTCTGGGATTAGTCAAGAAGCACACTCGGTTGCAGAAGCAGGGAGTGCGGTCTAGAGCCACACGGGAGCCGGCGTGGCCGCCTCTTCTGCCCGGAGTCATCCTGCCCGCACGGGACGGCCGGCGCTGCCTCCTGCCCGGGCTCGGGCTGCAGCGGCCGCGAGCAGGGAGGACGGTCCCCGGGAGCTCGTTCCGCGAACGCCGGGGCTTCCATCCGCCCGAAGGCTTCTTTTTCTCTCCAGACGTTTCAGGAACCCCGGAGAGTTAAGCACCGGTTGCAAACCTGTCTCGTTCAAACCGCCTCGAGAACCGGGGAACAAGTCGGGGTCACATTCCAAAAGTT